CCAATAGTCTGCCATCCTTTGAGGCCCGAGTCGATGCTATTATAGCAAGTGCGTCGGCCTAAGCGTTCTCTTCACTAGGGACATGTAAACACATTTAAATCGAGAGAAGTTGTAGGTTAATTTCTGCACCTCGATAATGTACTTTGTCATGGTTGCATCTTGGGCCTTGTAGTACCCCCTCACTTGGTTCACAACTAATTGTGAGTCGATGAACACCATCAGGTCCGAAACTTGAAGCTCCCAAGCAAGCCAAAGCCTCAAGAGAACTATAAGTTTCATTATTGAATATTTTGAACCTGAATTAGAGAGCTTGCTCATACGTATTTTTGTTCGAGCCTTTTAAGACAAGTCTAACACCACATGTATCTAAGGTGGTGGAACCATCCATGAATAGTGTCCATGTGGGTGGGGTGTGCTTGTCAACCTTAAGCGAATGAGAAATTAGTTATAAGATAAAGTTTGTTAATACTTAGGCCTTTATGGTAGTCTTTGTAACATGTTGGATATTAAACTTGTTAGTCATAGGTGTCCTGCAAGCCAATTATAAGAGTGATGACAAGCGTAACATAACACACACTTTTTTTACTTATTATTTTTTTAGTATTTTTTTCACTTTATATTGTCTATTGCATATATTGTGATTTCCATAGATCTATACAATGAAAACCAGAAAATAATGAGATCACGATAATGAGGCTGATTCGCCTTTAAACACATATTTTAAATAATTCCGATCATAGGTCACTCGAGAGGGACATCGAGATGACTGGATAGACTGGTGTGCTATATACCCCTCTATATGATGGAGGTTGTTGGTCTAATAACTGTTCGTGCGGGGACACTGGAGATACCGCGCAGGTGCTCATTGGAGAATGAGTTCACTGATTGATCCACCCATGGAATGTTGGATGGTTAATGATATCTCATTCTCAGACAGTGATTCCGTCATCCTAACAGTGTATCTGGTCCTTAAACTTGAGACACGGATGTCCTATATGAGTATTTCACTTTTTGATACCAGACTTATAGACATGGAAGTTTTAAATCTAGCATAATCAGTCATCGAGAGTGACAACCAACCTTACGAGGGCTATTAAGTGTCGATAAAGAATCATATACTCTTGATGTTATAAGAGAAATATTCCGTGTATTCTTGCTCAAGCAAATCCCTAACTAGGGTCATTCAGATTAAGAGAGAAAATGTTCTTCGAGAGAATTCGCTTAGAGCGAGACTCGAGTAAAAACTATATGGGTCTGACAACATCATGCATGGTATATGCTTTTTAGGATATTAGATGGATGAGGAACTATATATACATGGTAATTGAGGACAGATAGGTCCAATGGATTGAATTATCCTGTATTGTTTGGGGACTACGGCGTAGTGGCATAGTACGTCCGCAATCGATGAGTCGAGTGAATTATTATGGAGATAATAATTCACTGAGTCATAAGGAGTTCTGAAAAGTATGACTCATGACCAGTTCAATATTAGGCTTAGAGGCCACACACATATGATAGGTGTTACGGCGAGTAGAGGTTCAAATATCCAATAAGCCCATGAATTATTAGATCATATAGATAAGATCCAATAAGAGCTAATAAGAGATTATTAAGTAGAGATCCACTAATCTAAGATACTTGATAGTTAGATGGAGATCCAGTATCCAATATGATAGGATCAATTATGGTTAAGTTGACAAGGGGCTAGGAGGAAACCCAAGGGCTATAGGCTAAGCTTTTTTAGCCGCCACCTTCTATTCTCCTCTTTCCTTCTCCTCCTCAGCCAAGAGCCTCTATTTCGGGCATGTGGAGATTTGAACAGTGATTTGAGGAGCATTTTTGTAGCCCTTACTGTGTGGATCACCGCTAGAGAGGAGGATACTTGACCTCTTTCATCCTCTCCCATATATCTATAGGATTTCAAGGATATATGATCTCCTTAGGTAACACATCTTTTTTATATAGATAATTTTTTATTTTACGACTTTTGCGCACTAATCTTCATACGACGATGAAACATTTCTATGGAAATATGATTTTTTTTTTTTGTTCTTCCGTTGCGCATGTGATGTCATCCTAATATTTTCCTATAAAACTCACCTAGCTCTACTAACCATCTCAACAACCAACCTAAGACATCGAACCCAGAGAGAACTTGTTTGAGTGATTGGTCAGTGATCACCTGCACAACATATGCTTGAAAATAGTGGTAGAGCTTCCTTACCACCAAGACTAGCACAAATACAAGCATCTTGATATTGGGTATCATTCCTCAAGTTTGTTCAGAATATGACTGATATAGTAGATAGGTTTTTGGACTCTCAAGTCATCTTGTACCAACACCGAGCTGACAGCTAGGTCGGTGGTAGTGAGGTAGAGGCTTAGATTTTCACTTGATGTAGAGGAAGTGAGTTGTGACAATTGAGCAAGGCGTCCTTTAACCTTTTGAAAGCCTCTTAACACTCCTCAGTCTATAGGAAACCCTTGAGTTCTTTAATACCTGAAAGAAAGATAGACACTTTATCACCAGATTATGATAAGAATCAATTGAGTGTTGCTATCTAACTTATTAACTATTAGATATCCCTTGTCAACCAAGGTGGGTGCATCTCTAATATAGCTTAAACTTTCTTGGGGTTTGCATCTATTCCTCTAAGATGCATAATGATCCGAAGAACTTTCTAAGTTGACTCTGAAAGTGCACTTAGTTGGATTGAGGCATATATTGAAATTTTTTAGAACTTGAAAAATCTTTGCCAAATCCGTCAAATACGAATCAACCATCTTACTCATCACTATTATGTTATCTACATATGGTTCAACATTTCTCTCAATCTAATGGTTAAAGATATTATTCACCATCCTTTGGTATATCACTCCTCTATTTTTTAAATTGAAGGGTATGGCTTCATAGCAATATGTGCCTCGATCGGTGATAAAGAAAGTGTGTTCTCAATCCTCTGATGCCACTTTAATTTAGTTATATCCTGAGAATGCATTCATGAAAGTGAGGAGCTCATAACCCATGATAGTCTCAACCAATTGAACAATATGAGGAAGTAGGTAATTGTCATTTGGTATGCCTTGTTAAGATCAGTATAATTAATATATATCCTTTAATTTTCATTAGACTATTTAACGAGTACAACATTAATGAGCCATTGGAGGTACTACACATCAATAATAAACTCTACTCCTAACAACTTGCCTACCTCATCACTAATTATCTACTAGCAGTTAGGAACAAACTTGTGAGACTTTTGCTTCACTGGATATGCCATAAGAAAAATATTCAAGTGATATTGAGCTATGCTGGGGTTAATTCCTGACGTATCTCTCGATGACCATGCAAATACCTCAACATTCTCTAGAAGAAAGTTGATGAGTTGCCATATCTCTCTTTGGGAAGTATCGCTCTGACCTTGACAACTTAAATGGGTCAAGCCTTGTATATGGGTGCTTTAATGAGCGACTCCACTGATTGAGGATATGTGACGAACTTGGCGAAGTTTTAAAGGTCCAAATGTGGTGCCTCGGGTCCAACCTTCTTCAGTAGGGAGATCGTTGTTAGGTAGCACTAGCACAACTCCATTAGGTTGCTTCTCAGCTCTCTGATGTTTGTTCTCATCAAAAACTTTATCACCATGTAGTAAGTCGATACCACTACCCTCAATATATTTAATGTGAGTCGACCTATAATTGCATTATATATTGAGGGGATATCCACCACCATAAATTTAGTTAGCATCATTTTGGTGCAAGGCTTCTCTCCGATTGTGACATGCAGGTTAACGGTCTCGAGAGGCAATCACTAATGAACCCTATCAATGAAGAAATCATAAGGATAAGTTCGTTAGTTAAGAGTTTGAGATTTTGAAAATTATCAAAGTAAAGAATATTGGCAGAGCTACCTATGTCAATCATGGCCCTATTCACCCAAGCATTGATTATTCTTATAGAAACTATCAAGACATTATTATAGTTTGGATTAAGGTACTGGATCTTTTAATTGCTATATGATGTCGCTCGATAATTGCATCAGCATTGACACAGATGTAAACTAGAGAAAGGGCCACTTGCAACTACGTCAACATCGGTGCATATGCAGAATGATCCTCATCTTTCATTATTTTTCTCTTCATTCATAGTCACCAACGACTTTCTAGTACGTCATTGTTCGTCATCATCGATGTTGTCCATCATCATCAATCAAAATATTAAATTTTTTATATTTTTTAAATATTTTTATTGATAAGATCGGGACCGTTTGAATAAGTATTAATATATATTTCACTCACATAATGTCAATATATTTTTTTTTTAAATATAAAAATTAAAAAAAAATACTAAAAAACTATAATTAGCCCTCTTTGAAACTCACATTTCTCCGTTGACTCGTCTCTCTGGATAGCGTCTGCAAGCACACAAAAGCTACGCGTGTCGCGGGGCGCCACAGGTGCTTCAATTTCAGAGCTGGCCTCCGCCGGCTACCGGCGCAACCGGTAACTATGGGGGCCACACCGGTTCTGGGACCCGGAAGTTCGACGGCCCAGATCGCCCTCTGCCAGTTCCTGAAAACACCGGAGTTACACGTGGGTAAAGCAGCGGAAGCCATACAAAAGAGGCATAAACAAAAAAATATATAACAGATCAAAGAAAGCTACGTCATATACCCGACGCCATCGGTTTCTCGTACTTCTCTTTGGGCCCCAAAATTGTACCAATAAAAAAGGAAGTAACCTTCGCTGGTAGGAAATAAAGTACTCTTTTGAAACGAGAGATTTGTTTCGGTCTCTACAGTTGAAATGTGATTGGAAGAACGGCGCGACCGTGTGGGCCCCACTTTTTTCTTCCAACCAAAAGGCAGGTTAGAGTGGTTGGTAGAAATTAAAGTGCTGTTTTCGAAGCGAGAGTATTGTTTAGCCCTTTCGATTTATTTCCGGTTGTATTTTTTATGGTTTGCTTCTATTTGCTTTCCGCGAGGGCGATCGATCGAGGGGGGAAGAGAGAGAGAGAGAGAGAGAGAGAGAGATAGGGGGGGCGATAAGGGAAGCGAATCCGAGGAGGGAAAGGTGATCCCTTTCTTCCGCCTTCCCCTCATCATTTCTTGGTCTCGATCCGATACGGGCGGAAGATTCGGGGGGTCAATTGGGGTCGCCACCGGCCGATGCGGTGATCTCGAGTCCGCCTCGCGTGAAACGACCTGTGCGATGTCGGCGCCTTCTGCTGCGCGCCGGAGGAGCTGTCGCCGTTTACCGGGGTTGTAGGTCGTCTTCTTCACCGTTCCTGACGCCCGCCGCCGGTGGCAGCTGCGGTGATGGACGTGGACGCCGCGATGTCGACGAATTCAGACCACGATCTGGTCTTGGCGAACCACCACGACGGCTCGGGCGAGCCCTCGTCGCCTCCGACACCGGCGGCGGGGCAGGGGCAGCCCGTTCTCGCGGGGCCGAGGCCGGCGCCGACGTATAGGGTGGTGAATGCGATCATCGAGAAGAAGGAGGACGGGGCTGGGTGCCGCTGCGGCCACACGCTCACGGCTGTCCCGCCTGTTGGGGAGGAGGGCACGCCTGGGTACATCGGCCCGCGGCTTATTCTGTTTGGCGGCGCGACGGCGCTGGAGGGCAATTCGGCCGCACCGCCATCCCCCGCAGGGACTGCTGGAATCCGTAAATGCTCTTTCTGGATCTCTCACCTTCAGTAGTTATAACGAATCCTTTCACTAGATGAAACTTCATTAGTGGCGATTTTAGTCCTCTGATAGGTAGATTTAGGGATTTGTGGAGTTTTGGTGAATTCTATGGAGGTTGTCTTAGGTTTTCAGGGGAAAAGTGAGACGTACAATATAGGTTTTCATGAATATAATTGGATCTGGTGTAAATATGCATACTTGAAAACTATGTTGTTTGTTTTTCCGAACTGCCATTTTTTTTGTTCTTGCAGGTCTGGCAGGTGCAACAGCTGATGTTCATTGCTATGATATGCTTTCAAACAAATGGACAAGGTGTGAATATCAACCAACCGATGAATTGGTTGTACTGCATGCTCCTAGTCTCATTAATCTGTATTTGATGTAGCTAATATGAGAAAAGAAACAATTTTGTAGGAGTAACATGTTGTTCAGTGTTTTAATGATCCCTTCAAGCAGTTCTGAAGTAATTATGATGGTTGTTCTGTTATGTGTTATCAGATTGACACCACTTGGTGAACCACCATCGCCCAGGGCTGCACATGTTGCAACTGCTGTGGGCACCATGGTGGTAATTCAGGTATCTTCATAATCAATGTTTTGATAATTTTACTTTATCGTTCTTTATTCAAGATATTACGGTCATAGATGGTTTTGTAGATGGTTGTTCATGTGAAGCTATCTAATATATTGATGTTTCTCTCTGCAGAATAAAATTCATTCAATTTCTAGTTCTCAGTGCTAATTTTTCTTTTTGTGACTATATTCAGGGTGGAATTGGCCCTGCTGGTTTGTCGGCTGAGGATCTTCATGTTTTGGACTTGACACAACAGCGGCCACGGTGGCATAGGTTATAGTCTAATCCAAGCAATCATCTTGACCACTGTGTATGCTTTGCAGTTATAAGAGCTGATTAAATATATTAATGAATGTAGAGTTGTTGTCCAAGGACCTGGCCCAGGACCACGTTATGGGCATGTGATGGCCTTGGTTGGGCAAAGATTTCTATTGACAATTGGTGGAAATGATGGTAGGTTTATGCAGATAAAATCATGTTTTTACATACTCCGAAACATATATATTTCTGCATTCATAGTTTTTGTTGATGAGGCTCACGAGAAAGAGTAAATTATATCAGGTAAGCGGCCTCTGGCTGATGTTTGGGCTCTAGACACTGCTGCCAAACCCTATGAATGGAGGAAATTGGAACCAGAAGGTGAAGGTCCACCTCCATGCATGTGAGTAATTGAGAGTTTGTTTTCTCCATCGAGGTTCTTGTTAAATGAGTCTTCAAATGCAGATAATTTGGCACTTCATTTTATTTTAGTGCCTGGCCTCCAGTTAATAACACTATTTCTTATGTCCTAATCCAATAAAAAAGAATTGATGGAAACATGTGAACAGTGCTACTTTGGAGTAATCTTTTCATAGTTATCTACACATAAGAAATTTATGTTTGTTTTATCTATCAATGGCTATCTTACAATATTATTGAAGGCTTTTGCTAAGGTCTTTTGGAGCCTAGGCATAAGGCAAGCTCACTGAAATAAGGCATACTTAGTGTGTAAATTTATTAAAACACAACATTAATATTAATTAAACATGAGTGAAAATTTACTTAACATTTAATGACGTCTAAATGATTACATTGGTTCTTGCTTAATAGTTTAAATTGTAGAGTATTTTTCTTTTCATTGCACTACTTGTGAATGCAATGATGTAATTTGGAATCCTGCATAAATTGACAAATCTTAGAAAATCAGAGGGAACAAAAATATAAAAGAATGGACACACTGACACAGTACATTAAAAAAACAAAACAGAGATGAAAAAAGATGCATTGGAAGACGAAGACAAGGCAGAAGTAGTAGAAGAAAAAATGTCACAAGCGGCAAAAAACTCAGGAAAAAAGCTTGGAAGAGCGGCAGCAACAGCAGTAAATCAGAGAATCTGGTATATCAGAATAACAGTAAAGACATGAGGAACAACAGGTCAGCAGTAAAACCAAGAACGGAAAAACATCTGTGAAGTGTGAACAAGTGAAAGAAAAATCAGTAGTAGTAATCAGATAAAAATAAATGTTAGCGTGGCTGCGTGGGACAATAAATGGTTTAGAGCCTGGAACTTTTTTCTTCTCTATCTTCTCCTAGTCTACCTGATATGTTAATAGAGAAAAATGGTCACAATAGAAACCTTTTTGTATATGCATTTATAACACTGTAGATTCCGAACCTTTCCTCACCTAAGGTTCAAACACTTCAGTTAGATGCATAAAAGGCAGGCGTCATGTGCGCTTTGCGCCTCAGCCAGGACACACTAGGTGCATGCCTTTTATTTGCTTGATTTGACTGTGTGAGCCTAACATGAAGATCAATTTGAGCTAAATTCAAAATTGAGTTAATGGCGTTTAGGTTGATTCTAGAAGTTTTAGGCTTAAGGTTTTTATTTTTTGGGGTATTCTTGGACATATTTTTATGGGTATTTTATAGGTTTAACTTTTGTGATAGAGATTTTTTTAATATTCCAGTTATTTTTGGACTTATTTTGTTATAGTATTAAGAAAGAAATTTTTTAGATTATCTACTTTGGTAGTTGTCCATGTCTACTTTAATGATGTCGACAAAATCAGCTTATATCTGGCATTTACATACATGAATGATGTATTGCTGGTGGCACAAGAAACTATAGCACTAAACCAGGAGTTGGAAATGGTAATGGAGATGGAGTGGAGTGGCCTAGCTTTTGATCTGTTTTGGCTCTCCTTTTTTTGCCCCTCTAGTGTTTCTTCTTTCTTTTTCAACAATATAAAAATTTGTGGTTGAGTGGTGCCCCTGGACTTGATTTCGGGAACAATTGTTAGAGGGCTTTTATCTGCTGGCATTTGCAATGAATCTGATTGGGACTTTGTGTAGTCATCACATCAACATGTTTCATGAATAGGGAGTGAATTAAGAACGAAGTAAGATAGGAAGGGGGGAAAAGAGAGTTTCTATAACAGTTGGAATATCCTGCTTATCAGTGCATAATTCATCTTAACGAGAATGGATGCAGACATAACACTGTATGGACACACCAACATGGAATATGTTTAAGAGAGTAGGGCAAGTTACAGACTTGAAACATGAACCAGACAGTAACCATATGTTTTTTAGATGATAAAATAATTTGATTATTTTATGATATATTATGTGAAATTTGATATCATGGTCATCATATGTGAACTTACAACAGCCAGTTCAAAGAAATACCACAAACTCATACGCACAAAATAAGGAGATCACTTGTATCATTCTAATTCAATTGTATCAGATATAGTACCACGATAAACATGTTTGGGAGCCTTACATGGATGACATAAGCATTTTATGCATGTATCATAATTTAAGATGAAGTGTAGGTGATGCTTGTGGCCAAACATGCTTTGAACTATCTGACATGTAAGAAGAGTACATGAAATGGACATAACAATGATGATCAAGTACCTACGCTACATAAAATTCATTTCTGGCAGATTATAACTTCATCTATTGTAGTTGCTAACGAAAATTTGATTGGACTGTTATAGGATTAGATAAGGGTTGACCCATATCCAATCCACTGAGAAATCAGGTAATGGAATTGAAACAAAATCTTAGTGAATCAAAAGTTTGATCATCATCCATCATTAATCTTTCTTGCAAGATCATTTGATTCTCTCTATTGACAAGTCTTCAAGATCTATTTCTTTCTGGATACACAAATGCTGGTAATCAAGAAGACCACCAGACGGTAGACAATTCACTCAATAATTTGCATTAATCTTTATGGTTTTATTGCTAGTAATATGTGATGAATCAAGTCATTAAGGATTCCTCTGAGCTTCATTTTTGTGTAGATACCTTAGAATTGTTAGATATTCTGCCTTTATAATTTTCTTAGTTGTTATGTAAGTTATTAAAATCTTTGTTTAAGATCTATATTACTCTTTCTCTGATTCTCTAGTTCTTCTATCTCCTAGAAAACTTTTAGTATTTGGATTCTATCTTTTAACAGATTATTATATTTATTGTCTGTAGTTCTATTTGTTGATCTGTTTGGATTTTCTCTATTATCCTCTGTACTCTAAAAAGAACATTTTTGAGCTTTGTTGGTTGATTGGTTGTGCTTCCCCTCAGAGTACCACAGGGGCAGTGCTCCAATTTGTGATGTACATCTACTAAATAACTAGAGTTTGTCCAATTGATACTTGTTTTTCAGATGGAGCAACTTTTGATCATTATCCGTGCTCATGACAACCTTCCTGTTGAGACTAAAACCCAGGTGACTGATGGCAGTTTGTGATTTAAGTTAAAAGATAAGCTCCCAAATGATTTAAACCTGCTTATTTAGGCCATAAGGTCGAAGCTAAGGTGATTCAAATATGAACTGCCTTGTCCAGTAAACCTGATTATAATATTTAATATTTTTTTGCCATGTTTTATTGTTTATTTTCCTATACATGTGACTTTCCATTCTGGAGGTTGTAGCAAGCAAGCACTATGTACTTTTAGAATTATATGATGATTTTTCATGTTGATTGTTGTGGTTGTATTTAAAACCAACTTTGTGGTTGATGAAGTTCTTAAGTTATGAAAATAGTTGTCTAGTTCTAATAAATAAAAAGTATCATTTGTTTAAAGTTTGATTTCACGTCCTGTTTTTGTTTAGGTATGCAACTGCTAGTGCACGTTCTGATGGTCTTCTTCTTCTATGCGGGGGGAGGGATGCAAATAGTGTGGTGAGTTGTTGCTTTTGATTAAGAACATACTGTCCTATCCCCAACTTAGGTCCACCAAGTGATGTTTCTGGTATAACTTAAATTTCCTGCTGTCTTTCTCGATCTGACTAGTTATACTGTATGGGCAGAAATGAATCTTCATTTTTCATTAGCATTGGGCATTTGATATATGATCAGTTGAGAAAGATAATAATTTGGCATTTGGTTGTTTACATTCTCCGTATATTTAATGGTTCAAAACTTCAAGTAGTACTGGTCTTGAAGTTGTGTCAGCCAGTGTAATATTGAGCAAAGTTTGGTATTTTGCCATATAGAACCATGCTGGCATCCTGTTGGACTGGTTCGTAGCACATGCTAGGCCATGTCGACACCCCGTATGGTTGGGTTTCCTGCTAACATCATTGGTACAATGAGTACAACTGCATTCTTAATTGTATTAAACTTTTCTCTTTTGTGATGAACATGATGAGAAGAGGGTTTAGTTGCAGTTGATGACAAAATCAACAAGTTTTCATGAAGAAAAACAAGATCACCATAGCTTAGCTTGGTTTTTATCTACTGGTGCTAGTCAAGAAGTGATTGGAAAGTGCTACTGGAGATCAGGGCTTTATTGCACTGGTTGGTAAGCCTTGACTTATGATTTTAAATGACAAAGAGGAAAGGGAACCTGTCGATGTCTAGTGTCCTTATTGACCTGCAGTTTTAGGGAACTGGTCACAAGAGGCAATTGGATCTTTGCCAAGTGTGATCTTTTCTTTGAGCATCGGTGAGTTGTGGTCGCATTCACAGGTTTGTTAGAGGAAGTACTATGTTATACCAAATAAAAAACTACAAGTTTTGGTCTATATGCTGCTGAAACCATAAAATTTTGACCAAAGCTCAGTGAAGCAGCTTCAAACTTGGGCCAGATTGACCTGCTAGGTGTCTATTTGTTGGATTTACCAGGCAATATGCCTATGGACTGAAACGACCATCCTCGAGTCTATAACATGTGTTTTTACTTAAGCAGGCAATATCGCTGCTGAAATGTGGTTTTTATTGTATCCTTAAGGAATGTGGATATGCTGTATGTTTCTTCTTAGATTTTGGAGTTTCTCATCTTCATTTATGTTTTTGGTGTGCTACTGTTAGTTATTATTTAAAATTTTAAATAGATAAATAAATATATTGAAACAACTTTTTTACTATGTGGATAATTGCCATGCCATACTAGAAGTCTAGAAGGCAACAAAGGTAGCTTCATGACTTTGCCAATAATTTCTGTGCCCATTCGAGTCAGTTGCTAGCATGTTACATGTTCCCACCTGCTGTGCTAATTGAACCCACAGTGTCATGCATTTGAGAGTCTGAGACTAAACTAGAATTTGTATAAAGCATGTTTAAACATGTTATGCCTATAAAATTTGGTAATAGCAAGGTTTAAAATTCTGGTTGGTGCCAATATGGTCAGTGTTTGGACCAGTAGGGTTCCAGTATGGACCGATGCATCAACACTTGGAGTTCAGTACTGTCTGAACCAAAAGAAAGGGGCAGAGACGACGGAAGGTGGAAGAACATGATTGGTGACAGGAGGTGGGAAAGGAGACAGAAAGAGGAGGTGAAGAAGAAGCAATAACCTAATGATGCAGCAGGGTGACAATGAGGCGGTGGGAAGGAGGAAGAGGCAGAGGGGGTTGAGAGAAAGAAGAGCATGCGATGAAAGTTAAAAAAAAAAAAAAACAACTGCCAAAAGCTACAAAAGAAAATGATAGGGGTACCGGGTAATGATAGGCTAACTGCTTGGTCTCAGTTTTAACCATGCCCAGTTCTGTGTAGTACCAGTAAAAGTATGGATTGGTCTAGGTTTTCTAATCTTTGGCTGAGGTTTGTATTATGTTTCATAGACCTATTTAAACATGAAAGGATATTAGTCTCTTGTACTATATGTTATCCCAAGAGGTGTTTTGTAAACATTCCATGTAGTGTAACCTACTAAATGATATAAGCTGTACAATCTGGCTGTCACTTTTGTCCATGTAATCAAATCCCTCATTTAGGTATAATTTTTTATTTCCTTTTTCGCTAATGAGATTTAGGACATAATTATCCAACATACCAAATAGGATGATGTTATTTTTGTCAGAAAATTAAACGAAAATAAATACAAAAGTAAAAAAAACCTAATGTGGAGGGCTCACCTTCTCCTATTTAAGGGGAGGGATTCATCTTCTTCATTTCTCACCAAGCCAAGACAAGCCTAATAGTGGGAGGAATGAGGTGTTGCATCCTACTAAGTATAGGTAGGTTCTCTTCCTTGAAAAATAAAAAAATTCTTTAATTCCTTTAAATATTTAAAATATTCTTTTAGATTAAAACATGTTATGATTTTTCATGTTATATATAGTTTTAAAATATTCTTTTATTCTTTTAATTGTTTAAAATTTTATTATCGGATTAAAACATGTTATAATTATTCATGTTATATAAAGTTTCTAAAATTTTCTATTATCCCTTTAAAGATTTAGAAATTTATTTTAGGTTAAAACATATTGCGATTATTCATGCTATATGTGGTTTTTAAAATTTTTATCTTGGATGCATGATATTTGATTTCTTTTGGATTTATACAATACTTGATTAAAAATATTGTTTTATCCTTTATGCAATTATATATTTTTAATCTACTACTATTATTATATTTAATGATTCAATACTAATGAATAAATATTTTGATTATAATTTCACGTTGTCATAATTTGAAAATAAGGAAATTGTTTAGAATTTGGGTTGAGATCAACCATCAGGCTAGGCCCAGCCTGTAGGATAGGTCGTAGCCCGTAAACTAGGCCCAGCCAACAGGCCATGCCTAGCTAGCAGGTGAGACCCAACTCATAGGTCTAGCCTTAGCCCGTAGGCTAGCTTGGTCCAACCCAACATGGGTAGTCATATGCACTACACAAGACTAGTCCATGGGCTATGGGTCGGCCCAACCTAGTGTGGTGCATGCACAGCCATGTGCAGTGCACATAACCAATACATGGGCTGGCCTAATCTTGCCCAGTGTTATGCAATCTAGCCTATTGCCCTTATTTTGTTTGATTTGGGCATAAACATTGTTTGAACTAAATCAAATATGATCAGTTTAGATCGATTCAAGGTGATTTCGAATCGGTTTAACTTAGTCAATTTGTTTAACCTAAATTGAACCCAATCTAGTCTAAATTATACTAGTCTAGGGTAGTTCCAAACCGGTTAAATGAGGATTAGAGATCGATTCAGTTAGATTCTAGCGAAATCGAGTTTAATTAGATCGATTGAACTATGGTTCAAGTTGATATTATTTGAGTTTAGTTGAGGGCTAATTGATATTATTTGACATTAATGATGTTTGAAAGAGACATTTCAATGTATTATTCTATCTTGATATATACATGACTAGTATGAGATGATATTGTTTCCTTGTCGAGGGTAGGTAGGGTGATTCCCTTCGAGGATTAACGGGCTATCAGATGTGGCGGTTGGATGATTCCTCTAATTGTTGTTGGGAGAAATATGGTCCCATTTTGGACGATGAGGGATACCACTCCATCCGTTGTTAGGAGTGTGATATGAGTTTGTCTCCATTCATTGATAGGAGAATACAAACTCATCTCGTAAGGTAAAACCTCTCCATCTGTTGTTGGGGGAGTGCTCTTTGGGGTATTTGATATATGCCAAAGGGATGATTAACCTTTGGTAATGTATTTATTCTACAGTTGACTTGTAAGGGATCCTACTCACCATTACTAAAATATCTTTGTTTTATTTTTACTTTTAGAGCAACCTCCCAGTAGTATCAGATCGGATTTCAATAGAGAACAAACCTTTCTCTATCACTAGGTAGAGCTAGTTGGATTTATTTTTGAGTTGATATCATTATGTTTCTCAACAATCAACACTTGCATGATACTTTGAAAGCCAATCTATACCCAAAATAGCATCAAAGTCTCGAAACTCTAGTAGAATAAGGTGTACTAGCAAATCATGAGTTTCAATCAAGGTATGCAATACCAGGTGGTACGTATCGGTCCGTCAACTGATCGGTACACGGATCGCCCGTTACCGGACAAAACGAAAAAAAAAAAAAAAAAAAAATATATATATATATATATATATATATATATATATATATATTTTAATAAAAGGCGACGTCACCTTATATATATATATATATATATATAAACGAGGCGATGTCGTCGAGGCGATGCGACGTCGCCTTTTATAAAAACAATATATAAATATATATAATCTTTTATATATATATATATATATATATATATATATATATATATATATATATATATATATATATATATATATATATATATATATATATATATATATATATATATATATATATATATCTCTCGCAGAGAAAAAGAGAGACGCCCCCGCCCCCATATATATATATATATATATATATATATATATATATATATAT